GGGTGGCCTTTTTTCCAATTTCATATTTATATATAGATGTTTATCAATGATACGTTTTGTACATAGATATACATGCTTAGCTATCAATATGTCTATATATACATACATATATATATATATATATATATATATATGTCTACGGCTGTATCTATATAAAGACATATCACCCCCCCCAATTCATCAACATATCAATCGATTAACAGATCGCTCTATCAATCCAGCAATCAATACATCAGTTTATATACCTCTTTCAATCGATCAATGAATGAATTTATGTAACTACTATTCCATACAAATTGGTCAATACATCGATGTATCAATATAGCGAACTATCAATCGGTCCGTCGGTCGACCTATCAGTTTATCAATGATTTAATCAATCAGCCAACAAGTATAGGTGTGTATATGCACGTATATGTACATAACTATATATTGCAACACACATATGGACACATACATACATGTACACTCATAGTTCTATCTATCTACTTACCTACCGACTTATCGGGACAACCATCGGGACAACCATCGGGGCAACCATCGGGAGAACCATCGAGACAACCGCAACCATCGGGACAACCATATATCGATCTCACCATATATCTATGTAAATACGCACCATGAACCTTCAGGAAAACCATCAGGACAACCATCAGGACAACCATCGGAAAAACCATCGGGACAACCAGGAGGACAACCACCAAGACAACCATCGGGACAACCATCGAGACAACCATCGGGACAACCATCGGGGCAACCATCGGGACAACCATCGGGACAACCATCGGGACAACCATCGGCACAACCATCGGGACAAACATCGGGACAACCCAACCATCGGGACAGCCGCCAGGACAACCGCTGGGACAACCGGGGGCCACGCCCGGCGCGCGGGGTGGGGCGGCCTTTTTGGCAATAGATGGCCTCTATTAGGGATGGAATTCGCGCAGTTTCGCCTCGCACGCACGCGCGACACGAACCGAATCCGAAACTGATTTCCCGGTTGGGGTCACTTATGAACTCACCCCCCAACCTCCGATCGCCGATAGCTGGGGGTATGGCCTCGGCACGCGTGTTGGCGAACACTTGTTGCCTCTGTAGGCGCACTGACAGCCACGAGGACCTCAGCATGCTCCGGCACAGCCCGAAGTGCTGCATTCTCTGAGGGCATTCTGGCCGTCCGCGGCACTCCACCCCTGTTCATCCTGTCTTCTTTTTGATTTTGTCCTTACCTAGATTAGCAGCAGCCCTTCCGTAGCTTGACTACAACTTGGACTCGAGGCGCCGCAGATCCAACAAAATTGGGCGCATGCTTGGCCCGTCTTGAAGTGTTCTTGGGACTCTCTGGGGGTCTTCTTGGGGCGATGCTGGGCTCTCTTGGGGCCCCCATTTGGGTCTCTCAAGGCCAGTTTGGTGCCTCTTGGGAGGTTGAAGGGGGCGCCCTAGGGTGGTACTTGAGAGGTTAGTTGGGGACTCTGTGGCCACTTTCTGGATCCATTCTTGGCTTATTGCGCCGTCTTGGGGTTTCTGGAGGGCCTTTGGACTTTCCCGGGCGCCTCTGGAGACAAGCAGAAACCCATGCTGAACCGAGCAAATGAAAATTCACCCACAATACCGACATGACTTGGAGCTCTCGGAGACCATCCGCACAGCGTTCGTGGAGCCTGTGGTGGCCTCTTGGGCCCATTTTGGCATCATCCGTAGGCCTATTTATCCCCATCCCGGAGCCAACTCTGGAGAAATCGGAGGTTGGGGGATGAGATCGAAGTGGAACGGAGAGCCCTTTACCGGGAAATCGATTTCGGTTTCGCCTTCGTGCGTGCCGTGCGTGCGGGCGAGGCGAAGCTGCGTAGGCGGGCGAGAGAAAGTCTCCTGTGGCTGAGGCGCGGCCGGACCAAATGATTGCCGTCCCGGGGTCTGGGGGCCCGCGGTGTCCCGCCCGGTGTCCCGCTGGGGTCCCGTGTGGCTGAGGCGCGGCCAGACCAAATGATTGCCGTCCGGGCGTCTGGGGGCCCGCGATGTCCCGCCCGTGTCCCGCCCGTGTCCCGTCGGTGTCCCGATGATGATGATGATGATGATGATGATGATGATGATGATGATGATGATGATGATGATGATGATGATGATGATGATGATGATGATGATGATGATGATGATGATGATGATGATGATGATGATGATGATGATGATGATGATGATGATGATGATGATGATGATGATGGTGATGATGGTGATGTGATGGTGATGGTGATGGTGATGGTGATGGTGATGGTGATGGTGATGGTGATGGTGATGGTGATGGTGATGGTGATGGTGATGGTGATGGTGATGGTGATGGTGATGGTGGTGGTGGTGGTGGTGGTAATGATGATGATGATGATGATGATGATGATGGTGATGGTGATGGTGATGGTGATGGTGATGGTGATGGTGATGGTGATGGTGCTGATGCTGATGCTGATGCTGATGCTGATGCTGATGCTGATGATGATGATGATGATGATGATGATGATGATGATGATGATGATGTTGATGATCACATGCGCTCCAGTATTCTGTGACCACATGCCGCCGTTGGCTGCCGTTGGGCAGGTTGGGCAGGTTCCCAGGGGGGGGGACGAATGGTACCACAGCGCCAAAGAACGAAGGGTGATGTAAACAACTCGACACCGACGCTCCCAAGAGCGAGCGGCAACGCAACACTCTCCATTGGCATCGTCACAACAACAATCACAACTGTTGCCCATTGCTGGGACCCTCCCCCCCCCCCCCAACCTCCTTATCACCCGCAGGGTGGTCGTATAGGTATTGAATGTTGGGGGCCTTGGGCCGTTTTTGGAGAGGCCGCATAGTCAACCGGCCCAAGAGGCGCGATGGCGAGCTCGTCCCCCCTTCGGCCACTTTCTTACAGGACTGTGGGCCCTGGTGGACGGGAAAATTCGGGAGGGGGGGGGCGACAGCCAAACATCTCGTATCTTTTTCGTTCCCGGCAAACGGGACTCGGTGGACCTTCGGTTTGACTCCGACAGTGCGCGCTGCTGCGTGCACGCCCCACTGTAGGGCGCTCTGAGGCAACAAAACATTGTAGCTACTGCTGCTACCCGAGTTCTCCCACCTGCACCGAATCCGTATGAGGTGTTTCGGAAAGGGCCTCGCCTTCGAAGATCGAAGGAGTTGGCATCCCTTCCTTGGCGGAAGGCGGCGGAAATTAAGCGAGGACGAGGCCGCCTCCTCTGGCTGAAGTCGGCCGGAGTAAAAAATGCGCACCCAAGAGATGGACGCTTTTTATTGTCCATATGCAAGTAGGTTGCCAGGGCCATGCGCACTGTGTGGTGTGGCTTTCCGTCTTTCTGCTTCTCCCCCTTCGAGTGCTCGTGGGCCGCTGAACGCATGCACTCGGCAAGCAGCAGGTCCAAACCTAGTCTAAGCGCCCTGCGTCAAGAGCCGAAGGGCCTTCCCTCTTCCTTCCTCTCAAAGAGGGTCAGGCCGCGCCACAGTACAGTCAAGACGCAGAGGTAATGACCGCCCTGGGCTCAGGAGGGGTTCGGGTTTTCGGGCCGTTCCTTAGATTTATGTCGTGGAACCTGTTTGTGGCTCAGGCCCGCCATGGCCAGACAAGCCCCTTCGTTGTGGTTGCGCGATGGCTACACTTCAACCGCACTCTTGCGCCCCACGCTCCCGCCAACTTCTTCTCCGGCTGGCGCGCGCACTGGCAGGCCGCTCTGAGATCCGACGTTGCGACAAAATGCAACATCGCGAAAAATCACGGGTGGATCCCCGAACCCAATCTTTCTGCTGCGTTTTTCGAGCCCGTTCGATCTGTGATGGTCCCGAGGCCCAAAGCCGGGCAAAACCGCCCTGCATAAGTCTTAGTATGTGTATAGGTCGGAGGTTGGGGGGTGAGATCGCAGTGGAACGGAGGGCCTCCCACCGAGAAATCGGTTTCGGTTTCGTGTTCGTGTCGTGCGTGCGGGCGAGGCGAAGCTGCGTGGGCGCGCGAGAGTAATGATCCCGCCGTCGCTAGGGCGATTCGGATGCAAAAGTCCGGCCCTCCGGTGGGCGCGCGGTGGCTGGGGGTGTCCCGCCGTGGTGTCTCGCGTCGTCCCGATGGTGTCCCGCGGAGTCCCGCCGTGGTGTCCCGATGGTGTCTCGTTGTGTCCCGTGCTGTCCAATGGTTTCCCGCGCTGTCCCGTGGTGTCCAGTGGTGCCGCGCGGTGTCCCGCGGTGTCCCGCCGTGGTGTTTCGATGTTGTCCCGATCGATAGTGAGATCGATGGTGAGATTGAAAACGACCGAGATGTGGTGAGATCGGTAGTGAGATCGATAGTTGGACCGATAGTGAGGTCGACCGTGAGATCAGTAGTTGCATCGATCGTGCGAGTGCAGAAAGACCATCATAGCGCCATCAACACTCAAGCACCACAGTCAGCAAGCATCCATCACTGCGCAGTGGCGGTGGCACTGATTTGGCTCAATGGTGTCCGATGGTGGCCCGATCGAATTCAGCGTTACCCAGTTTGAGATCGTTAATGGGATCGATCGCTTGATCCATCGACACTAAGACTGGCCGTGAGGTCGATAGTGAGATCGATAGAGTGAGATCGATAGCGGGGTCGACAGTGACATCACACTGCGGCGCAACATCGTCATCGCGCGTCGTCGCCAATTCGAGGGCGCGCCACCAGCATCGTCATCATCACACCCATCGCAGTTGCCAGCAGCTTGTTCTTGCCCCTCCCCCCAACCTCCCTATCACCCGAAGGGTGGTCGTATAGGCATAAGAGCATAAGTGAATCTCAATGGGAGTGATTCTGAGTCTGAGTGAACTGAGTGTGATGGAAAAAAAGCAACGGGTAGGAGTGAAGAGGAGGGGAGGAGAGGAGAGGGGAGGAGGAGAAGGTGGAGGCGTCACAGTAATAACAAGAACCCCATCTTAGGATATGGGGGAAAGGTGCAACGTCCGCATCTCGGGGCGTCGCGTCCCAGACCTAGCCCCGCGAGGAGGAGCCTGCCTTCCGGGGCCGCGGCGCCGCCTCCCTGGACGCTGGCGGCTACGCTGGCGGCGGCTACGCTGGCGGCGGCTACGCCGGCGGCGCCTCCGAGGCCTCCCGGGCCAAGTGCGCGGACGAGGACGGCTTTGTGCCGGCGCCTCCGCCGGAAGCGGAGGACCCGCGCGCGTGCTTGCTGCCAGCCGTTGGGCGGCGGAGGCGGCCGGAGCACCAGCCTCGAAGAAGAACAAAGTTGCACACGGTTGGCGTCGCAAGGATAGCGTGCGATGTGGCGCCGCCGGCCCGCTTGCGCGCGATCCCGCCATCCCCCACCTCGGGGACAGCGTGCATCGACGAGGCCCTGGCAGGGGGATAGCGTGCACCGACGAGGTCCTCACAGGGGGATAGCGGATGGCGTTGTGAAAGTGCATGTGCGTTCAAACAGTGTTCGATCCAGCATAGTGGCTCTTCGAGTGCACAGTTCACCCGAGCGTAGCGCATGTCACATAAGTCTTCCGCAGCCGTTTTGAGCGCAAGCTGCGTTGCAACAAACAACGCTTTCCCCAAAGCTCACATGGCAGCGGAGCGGTCCGATCTTGCAGGAGCGGGCCGCGCCGACGGCCGTGCAGTTTCGTTGTCTTCTCGTTCTTGTTCGTCGGCATGGCCGGCTACGAGGACAACGTGGACCCTTGGAGCCGGATTCCGACTTGGGATGGCGACCAGAGAGGCTCGAAGAATTACAAGCGCGACGTGGAGCTCTACCTGGAAACGGAGAAGCTGAAGGTGGACTTCAGCCATGGTGCTCGCATGGTGAAGCGCCTGACCGGCACTGCCAGGAGGTACGCGGAGAACATCCCGCTTGCCGATTTCAGGCGGGAGGATCAGGAGAACCCGACGCGTGAGGGCGTGACGAAGGGCGTCCGCCACCTCATGGCCAAGCTGGAACAGGCGATGGGGGTCGAGGATGTTTCCAAGAAGGGCCAGGTGCAGGAGTTCTTCTGCAAGCGCTTGCAGCGACGGCCCGGGCAGTCGGTGGCCGAGTGGGTGCAGGTGTTCGAGAAAGCCGTGCTGGACATGAAGGAGGAAGGCCTGCAGGTGGACCTGGGCCACATGGGCTGGCATCTTTTCGAGAAGAGTGGCCTGACGATCGACAGGCAGGAGCGTCTCTTGGCAATGACCCGTAGTGAGTACGATTACGAAGCTGTGCGCAGAGGCCTCATCAAGCCCCCGGATAGTGTGGTCCAACAGGAGCGTCGACGGGAACAGGATCCGCGACGAGAGGCCTTCCGAGGAGGAGGCAGATTCCTACCGAGCGGCAGGTTCGGCAAGGGAGGCGGAGCCGGACGTGACCAGAAGGCTGGACCCTTCCAGGCGCACGCTGCTGACGCAGAGGACGGCGAGGAAGTTCCAGGTGATGGTTACGACGACGACGGCCACGAGGAAGGAACTGAGGAGGCCGACGTATCGAAGGCCTTTGAGAGGGAGCTGGATGTTTGGCTGCGACTGTGGACGAATGCGCAGATCAGCTGGAGGAGGCCGATCTATAGGATCTCAAGGAGCTGGCCGATAGCACCTATGAGGGCTTGGTGACGATCAAGAAGACCCACGCGAAGCTCTGGGAGAAGGCCAAGGCTCGAGGCTATCGTCGATGTTTCCGCCAGCTCGAGCTCGCGAGCGCCGCCGCCGCCGGCCTCGCACCCAGACCAGAGGGGCCGGGGCCAAGGAGGAGGTCCAAAAGGAGGACGAGGATGGGATGGCGACCAGCGGCGCAAGGAAATCGAGCGGCAGAAGTTGGTCACGAGGCGCACGGATTGCAACACATTCGGCCATTGGTCGGGCGACACCATCTGCGAGAAGAAGCAGGAGTCAGAGGCCCACGTGTGCGATGTGTGGTTGGAGTCCTACCTCAGCGACGCGCAGCCAATGGAGAGGTCGTAACTGCGAGCTGGAGCTTGCGACACCTGCTGCAAACCGGCCGTAGCTGGCACAGAGTGGCTGGAGGGCATGTTGCAGGAGATGGGCCTTCCCTATTGGACGGTGCCGTGCAAGGAGAAGTTCAGGTTTGGGTCAGGCGATGCAGTTTTTTTTGCAAGGAGGTATATGTTGTTCCTGCCGCCGTTCATGGAGGTCAGGCGGTGCTCCGAGTTTCCGCCGTTCCGGGACGGTTGCCCCTTCAGCTGGGCAAGGACGCCTTGCGGGCGATGGAGGCGAGGATCGACTTGAAGAGCAATCGAGGAGTGTTCCCGGGCATTGCATGTCAAGATCTTGGACGCGTGATGGAAGAGAGCAGAGCAGGACATGTATTTTTGTTTCTGGTACCTGGAGGGCTGGCAGATTAAGGATTCCAAGCCATCGCAAGACACAGCAGTGCTCACACCGTGCCATTCTAGCCGTGCGAAGGCTTTCGGGCAGAGCGGGTCGCAGGCTCGAGGACAGTGCGAGATTTGATGGTTGTTTCTGGGAATTATGCTTAGCTTGGTCTGCATCGCATGGTTCGGCGCCTGAGGAAACAGACGTGTGAGAAGGTTGGTCAACGACAGGCTTTCGGAGTCGAAGCACAAACATCATAACCACAGCAGCCTCCGCATCAGCTGCCACAACAAGCACCACTACGACGAGTTCGTCGGGTACGTGGAGCTGCCGGGCGCCTGTCGCTGATGCTGACCGATATTCTGGCAGCGTGCGGCTCGGTGCATGGTTCAGCTGGCAGCGAGGACAGGTATGTCCAGCTCCAGGCGGACAGCTGCGAGCCCTGGAGCACCGACCTGACCGACCTTGATGATTGCGGCTGATTTGAGAACGTCAGCAAGAAGGCGTGCAAAAAGGGCACTTGCAGTCTGCTGTCCGTGGGCATGAGAGATTTGATTGCTATGGGGACTTTTCCCGCTCGAGTCCAAGAGGCCATGGCTGCCGCGATGGGACAGATGATGACTGAGGAGACCAAGCGAAGGATGAGGATGAGCCTGCTGCCAAGAGGAGGAAGAAGCCGCTGGGCGAGCAAGAGGACCAAGGAAGAGCCACAGGAGACGATGAGACGCCAAAGGAGCAGGAGGACGAACCAGGCGCCAAAAGGAGGAAGTGGGCGCCAAAGGAGCTCGTGTAGACAGAGTTGCAGCCGCTGACAGTTGGAGAATGGTTTCGCACGTCCAATCGCCTTGTGGTTGGAGAGGTCTTCGCGCGCGCAGAACACTAAATCAGCAGCCGAGCGCAATATGCATCCGACGATGAGGCCCTGTTTCCTGGAATTCTGGAGTTCGGTGACGACGCGAAGCTGCCCGAGGGCAGGGGCAAGATCACGGGGCAGGTCGGCAGGTTGAAACCGCGGGCTCTGGCGATGTTTTTTTCTGACCGGGCATGGGCTCCATTGCAAAACTGCGCGCGAAATCCGGCCTGCAGGGCGAAGTTGGACAAAGGGCGAGCCGAGGAGCAGGTGGTCTTCGAGTTTGCCGAGGAGATGCGCGAGACCCTGCGCCAGTTGGGCGGCGTCTACCCCATCGAGAACCCAGCCGGGGCGACGAGTTGGAAACGGCCTCCGGTCTCACGGCTGCTCAGGAAGAGCCACGCTCTACAGGAGACTTCACATCTTTGCATGCGCGGCGTGAAGGGCCCCAAGACGCAGGGGCGGCTGAAGAACGCCATTCGGTTTGCGACGAGCAGCAGGGGCCAACTGGACGAGGTCACGCGGAGGTGCCGCGGCCGACGCGTTCATGGTAATACGACGTCGATGACGAACAAGGATAAAGAGACGATCGGCTGGAGCGCGAGGGCCCTGGCGCAGGCGATCGCTCGAGGAGTTGAGCGGCATTTCTGCATTGGTCGCGCCGAGGAGCAGGACGTCATTCCTGCCGAGGACGTTGGGTTCGACTATGGGTCGCTGCCGCAGGACTAGCCAGACGACGACATGGACGAGGAGCCAGACCTCGATCGCGCCGCCCCTGCAGCGCTGGGCGAGCAGCCTCAGCAACCACCACCGAAGGCGATCGCGAATGCCGTGATGAGGCTGCGCAAGAATCTGAGTCACCCAGATCAGGTGATCAGGTCTTGCTGCTGCGTGCGCTTCGACTCGGAGGAGCCAACAGGCTGGCCGCCAGGGCGGCGATAGACTTGCGCTGCGACGTGCGCGCCGAGAACCGGCCGCCATCTTACGTCGAAGCTGGCGGAGACCTACGCGGAGTTCGTCCGAGGAGTCGGAGTGGATCTTTTCTAGCTGGCAAACGCCCACAGTATGGTGCACGAATTCTTGGACGTCGTAGGTTGGAGACGACCTGGACCAATTGGGCCGGACCGATGGGCGATCCGGCATCCGATCTTGGCGGGGAGGGAGTTCGAGGCAGAGCTGGGCGAGTTCATGGAGGCGCATGGCATTCGACAGCCCCCACGGCTGCCGAGGCCCCGTGGCAGACTGGATTGGTTGAAGGAGCCGGTGGGGCGTGGAAGGCGGCCGCCGGGAAAGCCATTGCCGACGTCGGCGTCGAGGGCTTCGCGAAGACGAGGAGGCTGGCCGCCATGGTGAATTTGGCCAAGAACTCCCGGGCGAACGCCTCAGGTGCTTCGCCAGCGCAGTGGGTTCCGGGACGTGTCATCGACTTACTTGGTCTGTGATTGACGAGAGAACCGCTGGCGAGATCTCGGGTTTTGGATGCCCCCGACAGGAGCCCCGACTTCGCGAAGAGGACGTCCTGGCCTTGGGTTGCGCGACGCGGGCTCGAGAAGCTGGGCGCGTCGCGCCGAGTTCGTCGAGCGCCGCTGGCGGGCGCGAGGTCCTCGCTGGGCAGCGGGGGCCTGAGCGCCAGCGATTCGGTTTGCTTCCGGCGGAAGATCAAGCGCAACAAGGCCGACGTGAAGACGCTCTTTGTCACCAATCGTTGGCGTGGGTCTGCCATCTTCGTCGGTTGGAAGCGGCAGAGCGCGCCCGTTTCCTACCGATGCCGGACAACGAAGGTCGCCCCTGAGAGTTTGCGGAAGGAGTCGGTCGCAGAGCAGATTTATGGGGAGACGGCCAACAAGGAGATGGAGTTCTTCGAGCAGGCGCCGGCAGGAGCTGAGCCGATCGCTGACGAGCCGAGCCTGGGTGGCGAGGCCCCGCGAGAGCAGAGACCAGACGCGGATCTTCGTGGTGGAGCCCCTGCAGGAGTACCCGCGGGGACCGATGACGAGTCGCCGGACGCGCGGGCGGGGCCAAGAGGAGAGGCTGGAAGGCAGCCGGCCGAGGGGCAGGATGAGGCAGGAGCTGCGGATGAAGCGGGACTTGAGGATGAGGCAGGAGCTGAGGATGAGTCACGAGCTGGGGACGAGGCCGACCTCCGACGTAGTGGCGAAGCTAGCCATGCAGTCCACAACCAGCGGCGCTGCCAGGGCCCCATGCAATCACGACCAAAAGCCGTCCGCCAGCGAACGAGTTGAAGAAGAGGCAGCGGCCGAGGACGAGGCGGAAGTTGAGGAGGAGGAGGCAACCGCTGAGGAGCCATTGGCAGAGGCGCCGCCCTGGCCGCCGTCCCAGCGGCGCTCTGCGGGGCCCCATGCAGCCGCCGGCCGAGACACAGCAACGGGCAGCTCCAGCGGTCCGCAGAGCAGCCCAGAACTTGGAGGAGGTTGGATCTGGCGCGATCTGGCCCCGGCGCGGGCGCGGCAGTTGGCGGAGGGGCCGGCTGCCAGGAGGGCGGGGGGAGGAGCCAGCGACGCCAGGATTGATCTCGCAGGCGTTTCTCTCGCAGGCGTCATTGGCACAAGCTGCTCGCGCGAAGATGGAACTCCATGAAAGGTCGCGACCAGCTCCTCTTCCGGCAGGCTGCGGCAAAGCAGCAGTCAGCATGGCTGGACATCGACGCGGCCTCAGTCATCGCGCCGAACGAGGTCAATGAGGTCAGACACACGTTGCGCAATAAGGGCCAGGTCAATCTTGCGTCGCAGTCTCGCTTCACCTTCGTAGACAAGAATGCGGGAAAGATCGCGCCCGAGAAGCCGTTGCCAGTGCGCGCCCCTGTTCGCGTCGTCGCGCCGAGGCGCGCGGGCCTGGGCGCTCTCGAGATCCGCCGGGGCGCTCCGACGGCTCGCAGGGAATCAATGTGCATTTTGTCGGCGAACTCTGCGAGCTGGGGTCGCGAGAGCTGTGCGCTGCTCTCCGCGGATGTTTCGGCTGCGTTTCTGAAGGGCGAGCGCCGGGGGGAGGGCGGAGTTCCTTGTTGCTGGTCGCCGCGCGATGGGCCGCAGCTGCCCGGCGTTCCTCTCGCCCAGATCATCCGCGACCGCCCGAAGCCGGTAGCGAGGTAGCAGAGCCGGTCGTTACTGGCATACTGGAATCCAGGGATTGATTCAGGTATCAGGAGTCACGCGTGCACGGTTGAATCAGCGGTAATTCGTTATTGGTTTCGCGTTCGGCGATAATGGATTTCGGCGTCTCGTCGCATCCGAAGTCCTGCGCCGTCGTTGCCGAAATTTGGCAGCAGGAATGCCCGACTTCCGCTTGGTTCGTTACCGAATTTCGCGTTCGACGATGCCGAATTCTGCGACGCAGTCGATGCCGAAATTCGGGTTGCCAATGCCGAAATTCAGAGATCATGAGCAAGGGCGTTTTTCAATTACTTCGAGATGGCGTCAAGACCAGGATCCGGTCGCGACCTGAAATCGACAACCCATAAATCCGTTACCGAGTTAAGCCGGTCCCAGATGATCTGGGCGGGCCCTCATGGGCCATTCGCAACGGCGTCTTTGGCTTGGGCGACGCGCCCCGCATGTGGCGGAAGAAGCTCAGCTCTCTCGTGGTATCCCTGGGCTTCAAGAAGCATCGGGTTTGCTTGGGCATGTTCTCGTTGACGGATGAGACTGGGTCTCTCGCCGGACTGGCACGTTCGCGCGCGGATGATTCCCCGGTCGCGGGCAGAAGCCAAGATCGAGGAGCTGGACCGATTGGCTGGTTTCGGTTCAGTCAGGAGAGGCAGCTTCAAGCACTGTGGCCGCCAGTGAGAGAAACTTGCCTCCAGCGCCGTCAAGGCGCACGCGAAGCCTTTTGCGGGGAACCGCCGGAAGGTTGAACTGGCGCGCGAGAGGGCCGGGCAGGTCGACGAGCCGTCGACGGCCATGGAGAATCGCGCCTTCCGCGGCGGAAGTGGATCTCTTCAGTGGGTCGCGAAGAAATCGATATAGTTCCTGCAGTCTTGGCTGCGGCGTTGCAGCGCCACCGGGGGAATGCCCGAGTTCGGGGCCCGCTGAAGTTGAGCGCGCGCATCGACGAGGCCAAGCGCAACGCGGATTTCTGCTTGCGCTGCGAGCCCATTGACTTGGACAATTGCGGCTGGCTCGGCCTTTCGGGCGCCTCGCTCGGTGGGGCGGATCGCTTCGGAGCGCCGGCCCAGGGCGAGAGCGCCGCGGTCAAGGTCCACAGCCAGGCCGGCACCGTGGTCGCGCTAGCCGAGGGCCGTGCGCGGCGGCAAGAAGGGCCGATCCAACGTCTTGGAGTGCCTCTCCTGGGCGATTCCTCGAGCGCGGCGGCTGAGGCGCGGGGATTGGCGATGCGGTCGGGCAGCGCGGCGCTGTTCAGCAACGCGCTCCGCGGGGTGTTGGGCCAGGAGCAGGAGCAGTGCATGGAGACGCCGCTGGCCACGCTCGAGTCCGCGGTTATTCGCTGGTCAGAGACTGCGGCGGCCGATGCTCGCGACGTCTGCGACAGGCTCGCGAAGGAGACGGGCGGTCTGCCCGAGCGCGAGGCCCTGGCCATGGAGATCGCCATCGTTCGCGACTGGCGGCCGCTGCGCAGCGGAGTTCCCTTGCGCTGGGCCGCCGACGAGAATGTGATCGGAGACGGGCTCGCTAAGGACCAGGACATCTCTCGGATCCACCTGGCGCGGATCATCGCGGATAACTTCTGGAGCGTCGAGCGTGGGCCGGAGCTGGTGCGAGATGCCTCGCGCGATGGGGCCGCCATAGTGAAGCGAGCGTTGAAGAAGCCAGCGAGTTCTTCCTGAACTTCGGCTGGCGCGCCGCGCGCGGGCTGAGGCAGTGAGGCGGACGGCTCAAGCAAATCGGGCAACATTTTGTCTTGCGCTCTCTTCCCCCCTGCTTTTCCTCCATCCCCGCGCCTTTCCAACCATCCTGTGGTGTTGGGTCCTCGTTTTGAAAAGACGGCGCCCCGCGTTCTCCTCCTCTCCTCTCCTCCTCTTCCCCCTCCTCCTTTTCCTCCTCCCCCCGCTCACTCCTCCCTGCGTTTCCATTGGGAGCTGCACCGAAGGCCCCAGTGCATGACACCACCGCACCCATGTTGGCACACCCCTCACACGGTTCGTGGCCCCTTAGGGAGCTCCACTGAAGGTCCCAGCAGCTGCGCTCGCATGACACCACCGCGCTCATGTCGGCACAACCCTCACACGTTTCGTGGTCCCATAGAGATCCCTAAGGCCCCAATGGCTGCGCTCGCATGGCACCACCGCGCCAATTTCGGCACACCCCTCACACGTTTCGTGGCCTGGCTGCGCTCGCATGACACCACCACACCCATGTCGGCACGCCCCTCATACGTTTCGTGGCCCCACAAACAGTTCCACCGAAGGCCGCAGTAGCTGCGCTCGCATGGCACCGCTGCACCAATGTCGGCGCGCCCCTCACACGTTTCGTGGTCCCATGTGGAGATCCACCGAAAACCCCAGTGGCCGCGCTCGCATGACACCACCGCGCCCATGTTGGCACACCCCTGACAGGCTTCGTGCACAATAAGGGGCTCCACCGAAAACGACACCAACAATTGCGTTACTCAGAATTGCATATGGTTGGGTCCTTCGCCAGGGGAATGTTATACACAATTTTCTATACGTGCGTAACTTTCTCATGCACGAATCAGCAGTTTATATACACATATATGTGCGTGACATACTCAACCCATGGATAATCATGAGTTCGGGAGCCGAATTTCGTGACATGTTCGTTGCGTCGTACTTCTGTGTGGTCGGGAGCCGAATTTCGTGACATGTTCGTTGCGCCGTACTTTTGTGCGGACGCAATTCGGGAACCGAATGTTGTGACATGTTCGTTGCGTCGAGTTTCCATGGGCACGCATGTGTACTCTCTCATTTCAGAAGTTTATCCTTGTAAGCTGCGACAGAAGCTCGGGACGCCGGGCTGCATGATCGCCAGGAGAAGGGAAGCCGTGTGAAAGTGCATGCGCATCCAATCAATTCTCCATACAGCATAGTGGTTCGTTCCTCTAGTGCAAAGTTCACCCGAGCGTAGCGCGTGTCACATCAGTCTTCCGCAGACGTTTTGAGCGCAAGCTGCGTTGCAACAAAAAACGCTTCCCCCAAAGCTCACGAACGTGAGGAGGAGGAGGGGCCCTCGCGAGGGGATCGCCTCACAACAGGGATAGCGCGCTTTTCGGAGGTCGATGTTGCACGTTATCTTTGCTACGCCAACCTAGAATCAAACTTGAGAATATTGATGCGCGGCACAAGCTTCCGACGGTCCGCGCATATTCACGAAATTTGCGCGGACCGTCGACAGTTTATGTGTTGATGTGCCTTTTTCTTCTTCTGACCAGCCGGCGGGGGCCGCCCCCGCGGCGCCAGCCGAGCCCCCCAGGGGCCAGCCGGGGGCGCTGCGGGCCATCCTGGCCGACGTCGGCGCCGCGGAGTCCGAGGTGTGGCGCGCCGCCTTCGAGCGGGCGGCGGGCGGCAGGGCGGCGGTGCCGATGGATTGCGCAGGCGTGCGCGATCTGGTGACCGCGCACAGCGGCATCTCCGAGCAGGACCTGGACACCGAGCTGATCAGGGTTGCCTCGCGGAGGGAGGATCTCCACATCGACGCCCACGGCTTCGCGGCGCTTTTGCGGGGGAGCTCGATGAGCGATGGGGAGGCACTCGAAAGGTTCATCGAACTTTCCGCCAACGGCGACACCGTCACCGCGGAGCAGTGCCGGGACGACCTCCTGGCAATGACACGTTCCAAGCTGGGGGCTCAGGCAGAGGCGGCCGATTGCGAGCAGATCGTCGCAGCCGCCATGCCGAAGAGCGGCGCGGTGGTGTCCATGGAGGAACTCGCTAGCTAAGTACCTCCCCCTCCTCCCTCTCTTTCCTGGGTTTGTGCGTGTGTGTGGGGTGGGTGGGTGGGGTGGGGGGGCAAAAGGCACGTACACGCACAACATATACTTTCTGGTTCGAGTTGGGGCCGAATCGGGGCCCATGGTGGCGGGGCACAACAATACTTGTGACCTAAAATGTTAGCCAGCGTGGGCCCAAACCAGTGAGTTTTTGCATTATGGGTGCGCTAAGTGTTGCAATCTATAAGGTGCAACCTGTGCGATCTGCAAGCAATGTGTTGCATGATATGTGTGGCGCAAGCTATGTGGTGTAAACAGTGTGTGCTGCCGCCGGCGCTCAGGAAGCTGCTTGCCCTCCTCCAGAAGGCGGGGAACCACCTCAAGAGCAGGCTCAAAAGGGGTCACTGCACCCCCATGGCTCACGCATTTTGAGATCAGGCGGGCTCGGGTGGTGCAGGCAATTGCTTCTGCCTGAGTGCTGGCGTCGCCTGTAGCGAGCTCAAAGCGAGTTCAAAGACATTTTCTGGAGAAGCGCTCCAACCTGGTGGCGAAGCGACGAGGTGTGCTCGTCTCGCAGTCGCTGCAGAGTTGGGCAACGCAAAGCATACAAGCATACGTATTGTGCGACTCAGCAACACATTGATCGGGTTGGGCGCAGCAGGGTGCTCATGCGGACACAATGTGCGTGCGGGCGCTTTCGACGTTCATGAACGTGGACATCTGCACCTGGCGCTACACGAAGGTTACATAGTAACGACTCTGTATACGTCTCCAACTCGTTATAAGAAGTTAATATGTTTTTTGTTTTGAAGATAAGCACTACAACCTCATTCGGAAGACAGACAGGCTCACGCCCGAAGTTGAGGCAAAGTGGCGAGAAAGTGCTTTACCGTACCCTGACATCTTCGTTGGTGGTGGACGGTCCACGGCAGCGTCATCTTCAGCGAAGGCCCCCGACCCAGAGTACTCTTTGGAATATTCACGTCGTCTCTTGAGAGCACCCTCGGCATCATCGGCCCATACCTCGGAGTTGAGGAAGGCCAAATCGCTCCTTGGGGCCCCTACCTCACGCTCAAAGTCAGTGGCTTCAAGAGCTCATTCTGTACCACCCGAAGTTCAAAGTATGTTTGGAGAACTACTGGAAACACCCGATGAAGGTCCCCTTGACTCAACCAAAGCAGCACACCTCCGATGTCCCTAGTGCGGCTGGCTACCCACCGCCGAAGGCTTCAATAATGCTTGCAGGCGCAAGCAGCAAGCTCGAGTTCATTGGAGAGAATGTGTATGTAAAGTACATCCCAAGAAGACGCGGGACGCCATCATCGACAGCGTCCGCACCACAGTTTTGACGGCTCGGAATCGTGCGGTTCGTCGAGATGCATGGCAGCAGTATCAAGATTGGCACCAGAAGCTTACACAAGAAATGCAAGACTCAGTATGTTGTCTTACTGGAGACAGTGCTGCTACAGCGCCCGGTTGCCGACAGCACTCTACCAAACACGGCTGTTCGAGGTGTGGTGACAGGAAGATTTTGGCACGAGCCGAGGACGCCGCATGCCGCTCGCGCGCTTCAGGGCTCCCCACCAACGACGTGCAAAGGTACCTCTTGGGCTCCACGGTTTCCTTTCGGCGGGAAGCCATGAATAATAGCAACGCGCACAAATGGCTGGTGAAGCAACCCATGGAACGACGCAGAGCATGGGCGGAGGTCCAGCGCAAGCGGATCCGAGATCTGCCGGAGCACGCAGAGTGGAGGAAGTGCCGCAACGAGGCCCAGAACTAGAGGGCACACCAGCGCAGACGCCAACGACACACAGTTCTCAAGACGATGAAGCGCCCAGCGGCGGCCCCCCGTAGGCCGGCGGTGGCGACCTTTGATTATCTTCTCATCCACGTCATGATCCGCTTCTTGGAGGCGGAGACCAGCCTGGTGATACCCCCGCGGCTCCGCATAGTATTTTTGATACCATGAAAGTTCCCCCTTTGAATGTTGCCTCCCTCATGACAAGCAAGACTCCTCGAAGTCTTAAGCAGATGTGACGACGACGAGATCGGCCTCATCACGCTACGAGAAATCCGCCACGGTACAGAACGTCCACGTTGGGTGCTGGAGACTGCCCGTCGAACGGGCTGGGCAGCTGCCTGCTCACACCCGCCGCCGAAGGGTATATTCGACGCGCAGTTCAACCTGGTGGCGCCGCAATTTTCTTGCGTCCTCGCCTCGGGCGCACGGCGGTCATGCGTGACCAAGTTCTAGGTCGTAGATTCGTTGGCGCACGTACCGCTTAAGCTAGCTTTTTATCCGTATATGGTCCGCAGACCTACGATGGTGCATGGATGGCGTCGCTGTTCCACTTGACCCAGGGGCTTGGGGTGGATGGGCACCCCGCGTGTTCTTGGGTGATCTCAACTGGAGGCCAGCGTTTGCCCAAGTGATTTGGCATGGCTTTTAACGTGCAGCCCAACATGTTCCGACTGCGGCGCAGGGGGCCGCCCCCGCTAGGACAGGGCACTGCGGCCCCGACGCGCCACCAACGCTATGCAACGACATGCAACTCCGTCCTGGTATTCCACATCACGGATTGGTAGGCCATGAAGTTCAGATTCCAGTGCGTCGACGGCAACGACGTCGGCCTCGACACACTGGAAACAACGACGTGGCGAAAGTAGCTTCGCAAGAAGAAAAAGTTATCCTTGAGGACGTCCCCGACGCACGCGTGGACCCACTGTGCGATGCTGAAGCTGATGCAGGGCTCCAGGGGGCATGCGCCGATCGTTGGGCGCTCTGGCGCACGCGCGCTGAAGCGGCTCTTGAGCTGGGCGTCGAGCTGGGTTTCATCGGCCTCGGCCGACAACCTGAGCGCCCAAATGGTTCCGGGCCCGCGCGCCGCGCGGCGGGCTCAGGCGGCGCCCGCGGGGGCGACCGGACAGTTGCGTTTCGTCGACCCCTTCGGCTACATCGGAGGTTTGGCCATCACATCACGGCAATTCTTAGTGCTTCGCCGAAAGATCTCCTCAATGCACGCCGCGCGGCGGAATCTGCGCGCGCGGCGCTCGACGGCGTCTGCGACGCCGTCTCCAATGGCCCCCCCAGCTACATCGTCGCACTTGAATGCCCCCCCCCCCCCCCACACACACGCACAGCTACCGCAGCATAACGTCGAAAGATCTCGAAGGGCAGAAAAACATGGAATGGAAAAGCGTTTTGCGACTTGGTCGCAGGGCCTCTACAAGTCATTCGCGCCTTTTTTTCAAAGGCGGGGCGCCCGCCCCGCCCTTCTCGGCCGAGGAGGCGCGCGAGGGCCGGCAACGTCAATGGAGCCCGCGAGACGCGCTTGAGCAGCTACGAGCGCGCCTTGAATCTTGGAAAGGTTATGCCAGCAGCGCGGCGTTTCCCACGTCCGAACGACGTGCAGACTGGGCGCCTAGCCTGGGCGACTCCCACTGCGCGATTGATCGCGCGAGGGGGGCCCCAGGGCAGCGGCAGAGATCGAATTGTTGAAGCCCGTATATCATGGCATCAATCTTGAATTATATGACCTGCGGGCTGAGACCTCGAACTATAATGCAACGCAGCATGGGCGCCTCTGGATAAGCTACCTTGGAAATGCATGGCGGGCTGCTGGCATTCCAAAAGGTGAAGGCGACCTCCGTCCGATCTCCGTCGGCTCGCTCCTCGCGCGACGTCGGCTATCCGCTTTGCGTCAAGCTGTCCTAGGCCCAGTGGAAATCCATGGGCTTGCAAGCGGGGCGCGTCGACCCCGCGGGCGATTTCTCGGCGGTTGTCCGACGCCGCCGATGCTGAAGCAGGGGCTGAACTCGATATGTCTCGAGCAGTCGACCGCGCGGGCCATCGGATAGCAGAAGAAGCTCTTCTACATCGCTGCGACGCACCGCTTGCCGTTGCTTCCACTGCGCGAGCCGCCCGGGCGGGCCCGCGGCATCTAAGCACGGCGGGCCAGCTCGTCTCGCCGGCATGGCCCGCCAGAGGCCTTCCACAGGGCGACGCCCTCGCACCCGCCACTCCGCGCGCGGCGCTCGCTCCGTGGCAGCCAATAAACAGGATCACTTATGTGGATGACCGCTCGATCACTAACGATGCGGCTCACCTCGCCCGCGGCGACATGCAGGTCGCATCCAATTTCGACCGCGCAGTTGGTTTTAAGGGGAGTGCGGAGAAAATGCATGTCTGGCGAGCCACCGACGACCCACCGCCCCTGGTCGAGCACTTGGGCGCGGTCTGCAGGCCCGCGGACGTCGAGCACCCCATCCCCCCCCGAAAGGGGTGGGGCGCAGCTCTTATTGCCTTGCGGCGAGCGCGCGCGCGGGTGGGTGGGTGGGTGGGTGGGGTGGGGGGGGGGGGGGTAGATTAGCCCGGCGAAAGGCCCGACCATGTGCAGTTGCGAGCACGCGAGGGAGATGAGACGAAGCAGGGGGCACGCGAGCTCGGAACGCGGACCAGCGGACGCAACGCGGGCCCTGCTGGCGGGGCCTTCGGTTGCGCTGCTCCTTGCGAGGGGCGCGCCGAAGTGGCCCGAGTCCGCCGCGCGGGCCCTGCCGCTGGAGCCTTCGGCGGCGCTCCCTATGAGGTCGCGGTCTTCGTGAGGCGCGTGCCGAACTGGTCCGAGTCTGCCATGCGGACCTTGCCACCTGGGCCTTTGGTGGAGCTCCTTGCGGGGCCGCGATCCTCGCGAGGCGTGTGCCGAACTGGCCTGGGTCCGCCGTGCTGACCTCGCCGCTGGGCCCTTCGGTGGAGCTCCCTATGAGGCCGCGATCCTCGCGAGGGTTGCCGAAATGGACCTGCGCATGCCAGAGGCACGGATATGAAGATGAAGGAAGGGGAGGGGGAAGAAGGACAGGAAGGAGGAAACGCGGGGCGCTGTCTCTTCATAACGAGGACCCCACCCTCCCGCCCGCCACTTGTTTTGCGCAAACCATGCGGCCGCGATTGCGGTGCTTACTTGGCACTGATTGGCGCGTCTCTGCGGCTGCGCTGGCGCGCGCAAGCTCGCGCGCCGAGCGGCCAGCTGATCTGGCACTTTGGCACAACCGACGTGGCCGCGATGGTGCTTACCGACGGGAACTTCCCAACGCGTCTCAATTGCCGCGCCGGCACGCGGGCAATTCAGTGCGGGTCGGTGATTCGGGCAAGCGCATATCAGGATGACGCCGACAACGGCGGCAACGATGATGATAGTAGCGATGGTGGTGGCGATGGTGACGATGACGACGGCAAGGCCGAGGATGGCCTTGATGCTGGTGACGGCGACGACGATGACGGTGTCCATGTGTCGGTGATGAAACGGATTGATTCATGATGGCGGCAACGGCGGCAATTGGGGATGACAATAACGGCGGCGATGCGGTGGCGTCGACGAGGATGACAGTGAGGACGTGCGCGCGCGGTAATGCAAGAAGTGTGGCGCACGTTGTTGAACATTGGTTGTTCATCTGTTTTTGATGAGCAGCATGTTGAAACGCGTTGGGAACCAATGCTAGTGGAAGAAATTCGACGCGGGTGTGGCGGCGCTCGCGGGTGGTCCGCATTGTATTATACGGATTCGCGCACAGGGCGTTTGCTAGATCAACGCGGAAGCCCTGCGCGGTGAGACTAGAATGCGGGTTTCGGATATTGCTACAACCATATGGTTGCCCCACGATTTCAGCAATAGCGCGCGGGCAGAACAATTGCAAAACGTATCGCGAAAAACCTAAGGTGATATACGTTTTGTACGTATGTCGAACTGCTTGCAGCACGGAGACTTGTTGGTATGTTTTTCGACATGTGCTCGTGCTTGTAAATTTCGCGCGGCTTTTGTGCTAGAGTATTCGAGCTTGCTTTGTTCAGCTAAGCGAGCGAGCGCGTAATATGAGTTGACAGGGATAAGTGGGGTGATGCCTGGCCTGGTTGGGAACTATGTATTCATATGATGGCAAACGAGCGATGGAGCAGGTCATGTGCACTGTTCCGGGGGGGGTCGATAATCCGGGAGCGCGGGTGGTGGAGTCTATCTTTCGAGAGGAGAGTACATGTGTGGTGCAACCAATGTAACGCAAGCAGAGTTCGGCGCCCACGAGGCTTCCACGGCCGTCCACCAGGCGAAGCGTTGGCAGAGCCAGCCGCCGCACGGGGCGCCCACGAGGCGCCTACGGCCGCTGGTCAGGCGAAACGTCGGACTACCCACTCCATCACTTCAGGACCATCTGCAAGAACCCTCAAGTGCAAGCATTGCTGCTTGGAGAATATATTCGAATATGCAAGACGTCGAACTTCAGGGTGGGGGAAGACAAGTCAATGATGCCGTTCTTCCTTAAGCTTTCTGGCCCTCCATCCGTTTGCCCTGCTCTATGGAGGAGTTTGTGAACTGCGCCAAGCTGGTCGCAAGGATTTTGCGCGTGGCGCGGTACACGGGGGCGCTGTAATGTCGCCGGGAGTAGACGAAGGAAAAAGGCTGCTTCGCATGAGCCGTCGCTCTATTCATTCGCTGGGCATGAAGGACGACGACGGGCGGAGACGACGAGCGGAGACGACGGACGACGACGACGACGACGACGACGACGACGAGGACGAGGACGAGGACGAGGACGAGGACGACGGCGACGACGTTGACGACGACGACGACGAGGAGGACGATGATTGTATTGCTGTGCTGTGTTGTCACTCTGGGAGCGGCGTCCGATTATGTACCCTTCTAGTGCTTTAAACATTCGCGGCAAGCGATGCGGCCTGCCACAAGGCCTCTGAAAAGATAAGACGTGCTTTGAGTACATGTCGAAGGGCATTATGTGCCGCACTTGCGCTGGGGGGATGCTCCTGAGGCAGTCTGCAGCGGCTGGGTCAGCGTAGTGGCGGCCACGACCACGACGACTGAACGAACGACGATAGATCGAGAGAGTGGACGACGATCGAGCGAGCGGGCGAAGACGACCGACGACGACGGCGACGACGGCGACGGCGGCGGCGACGACGCCCGCGAGGTCAGCGCGCGCGCTCGCGTGCGCACGCGCGCGCCTGCCCGCGCCCGCCTGCCCGGTGAGGCAGCCGCCCCCGTGGTGACCGGGCGGGCAGCCCGTTGCTGAGGGGGCAGAGGCCGGCGGGCCGCGCCTGCCGCGGGGTGCGAGGAGGTTTGTCACCAGTGGCATCCGAGGCCCAGCCCTCCGCCCTCGAGAGTTTAGAACAGCGTTTTCTCCGTTGTTTCATTGACGTTCGGGCCGATTCTTGGGTCGGAGGTTGTTTACACGTTGTGTACTTGTCTGCCCGTGTCCCGAGCTTCCTTCGCAAGTCTTTGGTGGCGCTGCGAGCGAGCCTCACTGCAGCTCGAGCAAGTGGGGCATCGGTCATCATGGCTGCCGCGGCGCGCGTTACTTTTCTGGGGCTGTGAGGGGGAGGGTCGACGGGAGCCTCTTTTGAATATCAAGCGGGCCCAGCGAGGAAACAAGCAACAGTCCGCACATTTGCACGCACACACGCACGCACACATCTACGTATATGTATATATAAGAGATTATATATATATATCTCTACATGCATACATACATACATACATACGTACGTACGTACGTACGTACATACATACGTACATACACCCATACATACATACATACATACATACATACATAGAAATATAGATCGATAGATATATAGATATATATATATATAGATAGATAGCTAGATATATATATATATATATATATAGATCGATATATATATATAGATACCTACACACATACATCTATATACATATCTATATATATACATACATCCATACATACATACATGCATACATACATACATATCAGTCAATCAATCAATTGATCAATCAATCAATATATTCATATTTACCTGTATGTACATTATGTATCGATCTTCCTATTCATATATTTTTATAAGGCCGGGGACGCCAGACCCCCCCCCCCTTAACGAATTTGGCCCTCCCCGGGCCTCCGGGCAACCCTCCAGACGACCCTGGAGAACCTCACGAGAGCACGATGACGGCCCCAGACGGGTTCCAGGCGTTCTGGCGCGCTCCCGAAACGACCCCAGAGAGCCCCAATACGGTCCACGACGACCCCCAAGAAGCCGTCATACCCCCAAAGATCGCTCCGAAACGTCCCAAGAGGCTCCAAGAGCACTCCCAAGAAGGCCCCAAGAGGCAAACATCATTGATTTTCGATGGGTTTTTGGAAAACTTTGGGGTTCTTCTCTTTTCGACTTCCCAACCTGGGCGTCCGATGCCGCTTGGGAAGCTCCAAAACCGCCTCACAACCATCCAAGGGCTTCGAGGCAGTCCAAGAGAGCTTCAACACGGCACAACAGGGGTCCAAGATGGCCCTAAGAGAGCCCCACGGCGGCCCAAGATGGCCCCGAGACGCCCTCGGAAGCATTCCGAATCGTGACCTGGTCGTTCAGGGAGACCGCGGTTGGAGGCAGGGCAGCGCGAGGGAGCCCCCAGAGGCCCCCAGAACACGCCCAGGAGGCCCCCATGAGGCTTTAAGAAAGCCTGAACAACTTTTGTGAGGCCCCCAAAGGCCCTCCAAGGAGGAGTCTCCGCAAAAAGAGCTGAGAAGAATGGGGAGAATGCGCATGGTATGGCGAGAATGAGAAAAAAAAAGCATGGAGGAAGGATAGCAGATAACATTATCAAAACGGCGATGCCGGAAAAGGCAACAAGGAGTTATCGCTAAATTGTCGGCTTGACCTTCCTGCCATTCCGCTTGCATGCCAAACTTCAAGGACCAAGGTGCGCGCGAAGCGCCACTGTAGTCTTGTGTCTAAGCATTTGTATGTATATATGTATACATATATATATATAGAGAGAGAGAGAGAGTTATATATATATATATATATATCCATAGATAATTATTGTTATTGAATCGCTTCGCTCATTCCGCCGGCCCGTGTTCTGCCATGGGAGGCATTTTGGATCCAAACTTGGTTGTGGACAAGATGTTTCTTTCGAAGGCTGCTCGCGGGGGCATTGGGGGGGCCTCCTGGGGCCGCTCGGGGGCCTCTTGGGGGCGTCTTGGGGGCCTCCTGAGGGCTCTTGGGAGCCTCTTGGGGCCTCTTAGGGGCCTCTTGGGGCTTCCTGGGGGCCTCTCAGGACCGAGGTCTCGAGATGTTCTTTCTTGCTCCCCCTCTGGGGCCGCTCTTGGGGCACTCTAGGGGCCCTCTTGGGCCGTCTTGGAGGCCTCTTGGGCCGTCTTGGGGCCCTCTTGGACCGTCTTGGGGCCCTCTTGGGGGCCTCTTGGGCCCTCGTGGGGCGATCTTGGGGGCCTCTTGGGCCGTCTTGGGGCGTCGGGAAACAGAAAAGATGGAAACACCAAAATCTCCCCAAAACCTAAAGAAAAGCAATGAATTTTGCCTCTTGGGGCCCTCTTGGGAGTGCTCTTGGAGGCCTCTTGGGGCGTCTGGAGGCCATCTTGGGCGTCTTGGAGCGATCTTGTGGCATCTCGAACCCTTGGTGTACCATCTTGGGGGCCTCTTGGGCACTGTTGGCTCTTCTTGTCATATCTATATAAGATGTACATATCTATGCAAATGAAGCTATGCACGTCGGTCTGTACATGCACATGTATGTATATATGTACATGCATATATATATATATATATATATATATATATATGTATATATATATATATCGTTATCAATCTATACATGCATATACCTCTCTATCTATATATACCGGTATATCTACACAATGTCCCAATACGTGACCGGGATCTTGGTGCTCGCCCAGACCCACCCAAGCAGACGGAAAGGCGAACATGTTCGGAGACAAATTGTCTTGCAACGACTTGGTGCAGCATTCGCCTTGAAGCTTCTCCGCGGCCGACGGCCGCACCAACTCACGAGTAGCACACGCCACTCGTACAAAAAACGCGTGCTGAAACGTATTAATGCCGACGGTGAAGATACTCATCTCCGTCGGGACCAGAGGGGCTGAACGGGGCACCTGAACTGAGCACAGGTACCGCACAACACTGGGGGGGGGGGCCAGAAACAAGTATGGAACGGAAGAGGATGCTCACACACATCCGTAGGGGGTTGACGCGCTGATCGTGGGGGGTTGGCCTACGACGCACGACGCGCCCACGTGGACCATGGGCCTGTCTCCTGAAGGCAATGTGCATGGCGTCGCAGAGCACAAGAGCACCAGGCCGATCCCGTCGTCATCTCGTGTAGCCTCCAGGTCGGTCTTGAGGTGCTGGTGCGAGCTGCCCTTGACCTCCTTGAAGCGGTGGACGTACCCATGGCGGGTGATGCGGCTGCCCTTGATGGGCCCTTGCTCCAGCTTCGCAACAGCTCCGCCCGACTTGATGATGAGGTCGTTGGGCATCATGCTCTCCGAGCTGCCTCCTCGCGCCCTCACCTCATCCTTGACGCAGTCTGCTTCGACGGCTTCAGCCTCGTCTGGACCGCGCCAGGTCAGGGCAGCACCTGGCTTACCGTCCAAGGCGACCTGCACGTCATGGCCCGTCTTGCTGCCTTTGACGAAGCCGTGCGTAGTCGCGAAGACGAACGCGCAATACGTCCAAGCCGTGCGCAAGACCCAAGAGACGAAACTGATCATGGAGACGAGGAGGGCAATCACTCCCGCTGCGGCCACGCTCAGGGCGAGCCATTGGAGCCGCGCCCAGTAGCGGCCACAAATGTATTCACCCATATAGCGTTCACCATGCCCAGGAGGGAAGCAATCACCTGGTGGAGCATAGCACCCAGCGCGTGCCCGACCTTCTCGCCCAGCCACTTGAGCGCTGCCTCGAACCATGCGTTGGCGAATGCAAGCCCGCCTGGCTCGGCGTTGGCCATCCCTGGTGCGGCCTGGGGAGAGGGGCCTGGGGGTGGAGGCGCATCCTCAGCGGCCACGACCTCGCCTCCTCCGGCGGCGGCGGCGCCAGCGCATGCTGAGCGCGGGTGGCGTGGCCAGCCAATCGAGGCGCAGCCGCGGCCGGACGCCGCTGTGGCGCGGGCGGCTGCTGCTCGTCCGCTCGAGGTCGATCCGGCTCTCTCGGCATCGCCCTCGGGCAGCGATCCGGGCACAGCTGGCGCCGCGGGCTGCTCCGCCGGGGGCGGGATCGGCGCCGCCCCGTAGTAGTAGTAGTAGTAGTAGTAGTAGTAGTAGTAGTAGTAGTAGTAGTAGTAGTAGTAGTAGTAGTAGTGTTAGTAGTAGAAGTAGTAGTAGTAGTAGTAGTAGTAGTAGTAGTAGTAGTAGTAGTAGTAGTAGTAGTAGTAGTAGTAGTAGTAGTAGTAGTAGTAGTCGTATAGTAGTAGTAGTAGTAGTAGTAGTAGTTGTTGTAGTTGTAGTAGTAGTAGTAGTAGTAGTAGTAGTAGTCGTGAAGTAGTAGTAGTAGTAGTAGTTGTTGTTGTTGTTGTAGTTGTAGTTGTAGTGTTGTAATAATAGTAGTTATTAGTCTCAACACT